TCTCTCTTTCTCACTCTCTCTCTCTCTCTCTCTCGCTCTCTCGTCGGAACCTGCTTTGTTGCACTGCGCTGCGGGGTGGGAAACTTGCGCCTTTAGTTTCGTGCTGTGCGACATGCTGGTACCTGTGCTGCTCGAGCTTTCTACTCAGATTCTACTCGGCCGCAGGAGCATCACGGCGCAAGAGAAACAGGTTAGTTCGGGGACCTTGGGGCCCTTGTTCTGCACTTGCAGGTACTCGCAAAGGCTGAAGCGAACGATGGCCATCAACTTTGACCACGTGCTCGTCTTCTTCAACCTATTGACCCACGGTGGCTAAGAGCAGCTGCTCCTGAGTGGATTCGCGGGAATTGCTGGCTACAAATCGTTTGCCCACAGGATTGGGACTCTGTTACGTAGCAACTGAGCAAACGAAGCTCCGAGATGTGCTCCATTCCGAGCTCGCGTTGAGCAGAGAGTACACCGAAATGGCACGACAAGCCCTGACCTGCTTCGTGGAAGGGCAGCGTGACCACGGTCGGGCTCTTCAGCTCACTTGCATCTGTTGGGCAATGGCTTCCATCAGGCGGCTCCATGGCGGCCATCGGATTCGGATCTGAAGTTTTTGGCTTCACAGGACAGGCAGAGTGGCTTTTAGCTCGGCATAGCCACTATGATCTCAGGTCTCCGGCGAGTCTCCAGGTGCTTGGGGCTGAAGCAGAACACAGCAAAGGCTCCAAGGGCCTACAACTTCATTGTCAGTCTCATGGATAAAGCCAATAAAGCTATAAGGATGAGTAAAGATGAGGAGCTTCAGAACGGGAGACGCTTGTTTGCGTAGATATGCCGTCTTTCGTTGCTTGCTCTTGTGCCAGGTCGTGCTTAGCACTTGCGTCGACTTGTTCCAGACCCTTCGAAAGCGCGGTCCTCGGTCAAGCACGCGGATCAGACTATACAGCCGGATCCGGTGCAGAAACAGCCCTGGGGAGTCGGAGATGCCTCTGACCTGCAAGGGCGTGGAAAAGACGCATCCCGAAGAGCTGGAAGCTTGCGGATAGCAGCAGCCTCAGGGGGTCTGTTTTCTGACCTCCTTCGGAAGCAGACCTTGAGTGCCGACAATGTGCCTATAGCCCCGACACAATCACAGCACTTATTGCTAATAGTGCAATAAAAGATAAACACCAAATCCCGAGTCTAATTATCTTATTGGGCCCCCTATCAGATCTGCTCACTTGGCTTCGTCAGCTCCTGACTGCCGGGTTCGACTCGCAGCGGGGTTCGGACACGCTGTATTCACCAAGGATCTATTTAAATCTGCTGCTTTATCAATGGGTCTTAGATTGCAAAGGACATCCCTCCGACAACATAGCATTACAGAAGTTAGCCATGATCCCGAATGACCGCACTCTGCAGAATCATCCAAAGCAATCCATCCACCGACTCCGAAGACATGCATAGATACAGAGCACACAGAGATAAAAAAACACCTGAGAAAGGAAAGCCACATAGACGGACAGACACCAACACCAAAGAAGCAACAACCAACTTACAGATATATGTTATATTAAGTTATATACATGTATATATATATATGAGCGTTGATCAATATTCCTGTTCCTGGAATTGGCTTCCTCGCGGATTAGTGTTTTCCTTTCGCGGGACTTTCGCCCTCACTTTTGCGGGACATGTTTGAAGTAGTAGTAGTAGTAGCAGCAGCAGCAGTAGTAGTGGTGGAAGTAGTAGTAGTAGTAG